CCCGCCCCCCAGGTGTGTCTGACCGCTCCCCTCCCCCCGCAGGTGTCCCGCCTGTCTCTGCCCCGCGCGGGCGCGGCCCCGCCGGTGTCCCCAGGTGTGTCCCCGCCCCCCAGGTGTGTCTGACCGCTCCCCTCCCCCCGCAGGTGTCCCGCCTGTCTCTGCCCCGCGCGGGCGCGGCCCCGCCGGTGTCGCTGTCGCCCCCGCAGGTGTCCCCAGGTGTGTCCCCAGGTGCCCCCCCAGGTGCCCCCCCAGGTGTGCCGGGGTCCCCGGGCGCGCCCCCCCCGCAGGTGTCGCCCTGGGGCGCGGTGCGCGCTGCGCATGCGCTGGCGCGGCAGCTGCACCTGTACCTGGACTGGGCGGCGCGCGCGCTCGTGCTGCTGCGCCAGCGCCTCTGACCCCGCCCCCCGGTAATGTATGCAAATGAGATGCAAATTTATGCAAATTTATGCGAATTTAGGGGAATTTGCGGGAGCGTGCGCGGGTCCCGCCGGAGCCGCTCGGCTGCAATTATGGGTGGTTAATTGCGATATTTCCTTAATTTTGTGGTGGTTTTTGTTGTTGGCGGTGTTAATTTTATTGTTATTGGCGTTATTTTGTTATTATTGTCGGTTTTATTGTTGTTGTTAATTTTATTATTGTGTGGGTTAATTTTATAATTATGTCCGTTATTTTTAACTGTTATTATTGTTAATTTTATTATTATTTTCCTTATTTTATTATTATTATTGTCGTTTTTATTATTATTGTTAATTTTATTATTATGTTGGTTAATTTTATAATTATTTCCGTTATTTTTAACTGTTATTATTGTTAATTTTATTATTATTTTCCTTATTTTATTATTATTGTCGGTTTTATTATTATTGTTAATTTTATTATTATTTTCGTTAATTTTATAATTATTTCTGTTATTTTTAACTGTTATTATTGTTAATTTTATTATTATTTTCCTTATTTTATTATTATTATTGTCGTCGTTTTTATTATTGTTGTTAATTTTATTTCCGTTATTTTTAACTGTTATTATTGTTAATTTTATTATTATTTTCCTTATTTTATTATTATTATTGTCGTCGTTTTTATTATTGTTGTTAATTTTATTTCCGTTATTTTTAACTGTTATTATTGTTAATTTTATTGTTATTTTCCTTATTTTATTATTATTATTGTCGTTTTTATTATTATTGTTAATTTTATTATGTTGGTTAATTTTATAATTATTTCCGTTATTTTTAACTGTTATTATTGTTAATTTTATTGTTATTTTCCTTATTTTATTATTATTATTGTCGTTTTTATTATTATTGTTAATTTTATTATGTTGGTTAATTTTATAATTATTTCCGTTATTTTTAACTGTTATTATTGTTAATTTTATTGTTATTTTCCTTATTTTATTATTATTGTTGGTTTTATTATTATTGTTAATTTTATTATTATTTTCCTTAATTTTATAATTATTTCCGTTATTTTTAACTGTTATTATTGTTAATTTTATTATTGTTTTCCTTATGTCATTATTGTTGTCTTTGTTGTTGTTATTATTGTTAATTATATTATTATTTTCGTTAATTTTATTACTATTTTCCACTGTTATTGTTGTTAATTTTATTATTATTGTGATTTTTATTATTATTGTTGTTAACTTTATTATTATTTTCCTTATTTTATTATTGTTGTCCTTATTTTTATTATTATTGTTAATTTTATTATTGTTTTCCACTGTTATTGTTGTTAATTTTATTATTATTGCGATTTTTATTATTATTAACTTTATTATGATTTTCCTTATTTTATTATTGTTGTCCTTATTTTTATTATTATTGTTAATTTTATCATTATTTTCCTTATTTTATTATTATTTTTGTAATTTTTAACTATTATTATTGTTAATTTTATTATTACTGACGTCATTTTTATGATTATTTTTGTCATTTTTATTATTATTGCTATTTTTTATTATTATTTCCATTATTTTTATTATTATTATTGTTATTTTTATTATTGTTGCTGTTAATTTTATTATTATTGCCACTATTTTTATTATTGTCTTTTTTTATTGTTAACTTTATTATTTTTGCCGTTATTTTTATTATTATTGTTAATTTTATTATTAATTTTATTCTGATTTTTATTCTTATTTTAATTCCCATTATTTTTATTTTAAT